ATATGATAATTAGTAGCATAATATATTTCGTGATAATGGATAGCTGGTTAAATGTGCATTTAGTTGATTGTATTAAGTAATTACATAGAATGTTTGATGGATAAATAAAATTAGATATTTATTGATCAAATAGAAATATATACATATGTATATATATATATATATATGTATATATTATAGTTTTATTGTTGGAACAATTGACTTTGCTAAAACTGCAGTCTAAAATGAATTTTCAATTGGAATAATAGATTTCTCTCTTTTACGGGTAAGGAAATACTAATGAAATTTGTCCTGGAGTTCTCCTCATCTATGCAATGTCATGTTTCCTAATACCTAAGGGTTTTAACTCATAGTTTGCCCAAGCTTTTGCAAATTTCGGATGGAGATCTTGGACCAAACTAGCTCTGACTAAAGACACGGGATTAGGTTTTCATAATTTGCACTTTATGAACATAGCCCTAATTGCTAAAAAAATATGAGGAATCCTAACAAAGTCAAATATTCTGGTAAGCAAAGTTTTGAAAGCAAAATATTTTCCCAAAGAGAATTTCTTCACTGCAGCAGAAACATAACAACTCCTGGATGTAGAACCTTTGGTTAACAGTCAAAGAGTCCTTTCAAATAAGGTTTTAGATATGATATCAGAAAGGGAGATAAAATCAGTATATGGACCATCTATGGATCCAAATCTACCAAGACACAGACCTGCCATAACAAATCTTTGAGGGATATACGAGTTATATCTCTTGGAATCTAATGGGAGCAACTGGAATAGAGCATTGGTGGAGGAAAACTTCTCTAAGCATAAAAGTGAGGTCATTCTAGACATCAAGGGGTTGCAGCCAAACGAACAAATAAGCTCATCTAGGAAGTTGGGAACAAAAAATTAGTTTTCAGTTACCTCAGTTTACTCAAAACTGCTAGGTTTGATTGACAAAGCTTAAAGTATCGTGGAATACAAAGCAGAAAAAAAAATGAGAAAAAGAAGCTGGACTCTCAAGATTAAAAGGAAGGTGAAACATTTCATCTGGAAATGTGT